AATTAAATTTTGTTTTCAAGTCAGGTACATCGTACATGTGGAGCTATTCTTTTGTTTGGAGATATTTTGTTTTACACATGGACATTCATTCATTCCAGTATGATTGTTAAAAAGGCTATTGCTTCTCCATTAAATTTCCTTTGTTCTGTATCCGAAAAATTAGTTTTTTATATTTGCTGTATGGGTTAATTTCTGGACTTGCTGTTTTGTTCCTTTGATCTGTATGTCTATCTCTCTGCCAATACCACATAATCCTGATTACTGAATCTTTATAGTAAGTCTTGAAACTGGATAATATCAGCCCTCTAACTTTACTCTTTTGTTGTAGAATTATTTTGGCTATTCTTGTGCCTTTTCCTTTCATAGACTTTTTAGAATCACTTTGTTTATAACTTATAAAAATACTTGCTGGAAGCAAATGTTTTTAAACATACTTTTCAAAGTAGTCACTTTTTTTTCTTAATTTCAGTAATGTATCCATTATAACTTTAGAACTCTTCTCTGGGGATTTGCAAGTACTGTTGTATTCAATTTACCAGCTGCCATACAATACTACCTAGTTTGATAACTGAATTTATTCATGAAATTTTCTTCTAAATATTTTCCTGTTTTTCAAAAATCAAATTTATCCCACACTATCTCAATTCAGTTTTTTTGTCTGATATCCCAACATATTCAGGTAGGTGATTACTTGTGCATTTTTGAGGAAAAATCTTCAAGTATTTGACTGCTTGCCCAAAGAGTCAAATTCAGTTCCACACTGTAGAACTTGTCGAATTCAACTTTACACAGCAACTCAAATTCAGCACCTCCAAAATGGAATTTATTAATTCATTCTTAAAACCAAATCCTCCATCTCTTACCCTGGTCAGTGGCACAAACATCTGTGCGCATATTCAAAGCAAAACTTTTTCCCGAGGATCCCTATTAAATTAACCTCTTAGTTTTGGTCATTCTGTCTTTTTAATTCGTGGTTGTAAATTGGGCATAGTATGGTAGCTTACCTCTATAAGCTCACAGTTCACAGAGTGAATCTGTACTCTAAATCATATACTATGTTATAAACCAACATTGGTCTTAACATACAGTAATACAATTTTTAAAAAAGGGGAAAGAGAGATGATATTTATGTGAGGTGATGGAGATGTTAATTATTACAGTTGTAATAATTTTGTAATGTGTGTTATCATGTGAACATGCTGTAAACCTTAAACTTACCCAATGTTATATCTCAGGTGTCGTAATGACAACAAAACAAAATAAAATCTTCAGGTGTTTGTTAAAAACAAATACAATATATTAAGGCTAAGATTTCTTGAGTCAGAGTCTTTTTCCTTTTATTCATTGTAGTACTTGTTTTAAGGAAGAAATGGGGTAGGCAGTAAAGGAATTATTTAATCCTATATCTTTTCTTTAATTAATCCATTCAATATGTATTGAATATATACTGTGTGTCAGGTACAGAATACTGCATTATGGTCCCAATTTAGTTAAGATAGACATTAAGTAAATAATTACATAAATACATAAAATACTATTAATTGATATGAAGAATTATTGTTTCCTAGGACCAGTTATAGGACCATTTATAGTCAATTTCTACTGTATGTTAGTCTAGGGGCACAGGTGGAAAAATCATACATAGAAACAAGAATAACCACAGAAAAGAATACCCAGCATAATTTTAAATGACACTGCGGAGGTTCCTTTCTACTCAACTGAAGTTTATAGAGTCTGAATTTTCAATAGTGCTTTTTAAAGTAAATCCTTATTAAGATAAAGCCAATTTATAACTGAGCTTTGCATGACTGAAAGACATACTTGGAGGAGTTGAGTATAGGATGAAATTTTTAGATTATTTTACATCCCTTTTTGTTTTAATTCACTATTGCTTCCTATAATCTTCACATTTGTTCTGTCTTCTTTTTTCTCAGCTTCTTTGCCACTTCTGAGCTCATTTGTATCCTTCTGTTATAATGTCTGTCTTCAGTCTCTTTGTTATTGTTGATGTACTTTTTAAAACATCTTTAGAGTGACACTATGTAAAACTTCATCAGAGAATAAAAATAGACAATTCATACGTCTGTGGTCACTAGTTCTTTTTATCATTTGAGGTCAAAGTTTAGCTTCTTCCTGTTGAACAAGATGAATGACTATATGACAGTAAGTTCAGAAAGGAAAGAGCTGGTATTGACTGATTTAGGGATAAATCAAGAAATGTGACATTTCATGCACGGGCCTTTCACAGAGTGCAAAGTTGTCAGTCAACAATTTGCATGGTATAGGAAATCAATTGAAACTTGAGCCCATGGACATTTACTTCAGCAAAATTCTTACTAATTATCATGGCTACGTCTAGTTAGACTGTTATAGGCATAATTTAGAGTTTACAAAAGGTTGAGAAGTGTCTGTATAATTGTAAACTTTGTATTAATGATACGTAATTTGGAGTTTGTCACTAATATTTTATATAACACATTTGTTAACTACTAAAGCCACATATGTTGTACATGCTGCTAGTAAATCTTAAGCCTAAAAAATCATTTTATATAAGGAATTGATTGCCTTGCGTTCTATTGGAATTTTCTGCTCATATGTAGAATATAGAGACGCAAATCAAAGAGTCAGACAAAATAAACCAAAATCATGCCCTAGAAATCTGAGGATACCAGAGGGTTCGGACGAAGCTGGAGGGCAAAGGGGAAGGAGACCCAGTGGCCTGGTAAAAGTTGAAGGGTGCTTTGGTGGTGCATGTGGTATGGTTACATAAATCTGAAGAGGTGTGAACCTATATTTCTGAATTATTTATAGTGTTGTAAACCAGTGCTACTTCAATAAATTTTTTTAAATGTTCTCCTTTTCTAAATGTAGATCATTTTAATTTTTTTATTTTAAGTGACACAATAAGTGAACTTGTTATTATAGAACTGAATTTAATTTTCTGAAAAACACTTTTTTTATGACTAATCTTTAACTAGATATTGAAAGATCTAACTCAGAAAATTGTTTCAAATATATATTGAATGGCACTTTCAGTGTATTAGCATCAAAGATTTGGTCACATTTTTCAATACTCTGTGTCTGGGGTAAGCAAATTATCTTTGGTGCAGCTTTTCACCTATTTTTTTGTAAGTTGAGTTTTATTGCAACACAGTCATACCTGTTCATTTACCTATTGTCTGTGGATGCTTTGTAGTACAAAGGCAGAGTTTAGTGTTTATGAAAGAGAATACACAACAAAGCCTTCAATACTTGCTGTTGGATCTTTACAGAAAAAATTTGCTCATCCCTACTCTGTATAATGTAGTTGAGACTAAATTATGATGCAGTTAATCTTTGATATCTGTGTGACAAATGCATCCTGAGACTTTTCAAGAAGTGCAAAGCTATTGCCTTTTTCTAGTTTCATGTTTGTATAGAAAGTTAATTTATTCCTATGTAAATTTTCAAGTCTTCAGTTAACCATTTGTTCATTTTTATTACAGTTTTATTTTTCTCCTACTGACCAGTTATTTCTATATTTGCATCAATTAAAAAGGGTAATAATAAAGTACAGTTGAGATCCAAATGCTATGTGGCTGACTTCTCTTACTCATAACCTGTAAGTTAGACCTGACACAGTCACCAAAACATGATTCAAATTCATTCACCAGCAAAATGATAAATCACGATATATGTAATTTGAAGCTTAATCATATAAATTGTTTATACTGGAATGCTAAATTTATTTGCCAAAGATCTACTATATTTTAATAAGAAGATTTGCTTTTCTTTTTTCTTTTGAAAATTTAGTTATCAGAAGGAAATTTTAATTAATTTAAATATATAATTATTTTAATATCTTATTGACAGATATTAATTAAAAGCATTTGAACTCTTCATCTTCCTCTCCTGTTGTAATGGTTTTTTACATTGTAATACCTGAGGAAAACTTATGAGCATTACAGAGACATTCCATACACTTTTTATTGCATTGTTTATTTGGAATATACAAATTTGGTAACCTACCCACACTGTTATTTTCTTCCTGCATCATATTTTTCTGGTATACTTTTTTGTGGTAAATGTTAAATTCATAGAAGCATAGAAATTGCAGGGGGGGATCCCCAAACTTGAAAAAACAGGAATTTGCATGTCTTACCTTTTTAATGCAATTTTTTTAGATAAGTAAAATCATTTCTGAAATACCTCATTCTGCTAACCATTATAGGCTTTCACTTAATTTGGCCCATTTAAAGATTGCCTAAATTGTAAATATTTCCTAAGATATGTTGCTTGAAACTTTTCTTTACCTTTACTGCATTTCTTCAGTTCATCAACAAACAAGCATTTTAGTGATCCCTATATGACTCTTACTAGACAAAATTCACTCATGAGGGAAACCAATTCACTTTCTTTGTCTTTAAATTGAATCATTCTATGTATGTTATGAAAAAGAAAAAACAATATCATAATCTAAAAATATGGTCTAATTTTGGTCAGCTTTTCTTTATAGTATATTTATTTTAACAAATAGGTAGCAGCAGGAGATTTTTAGGTCAAATTTAATGGTAATTGTTTGTCATTGCTTTTGAGGGAACATAGTTAAACTTTGTAATAAAAAAAAAAACTTGCCTTGTTTTATTTGTGATGTCCAAAATAGAAAGGAAATACAGTTTCTGATAAGAATTGAAAGTCCAGGAATAAATATAATGATGAGAATGAGTGCTTCTATCACTGGGGAACTTTCTTCATCTAAGCACATATGAACAATTGATCCTTGTAGTCATATATAGCAGTAAACATTAATAACTTAACAGTCTGAAGTCAGTGCAGAAGATATGGAGCATTATTGAAAGATGGAGTCGAGCAGGTGGCACTTTAATATGTTCAGTGTCATGGTTGACTCTAAAGACTAGTCGAATGAAATTACTTGAGGTTCTAAAGATTTAAAAAGCGAACTCATTTTGCTGCTCTAAGGAAATGCTACTGATCAGGCTTTCTGTGTCCCTTTTTTCTAGGCTAGAAAATATTAACCCTGAAGAAAATGACATGGTAAGCCATTCTCTGAGGAGATTTCTTGATGTCAGTCTTATATCTTAGAGGCTTAAGTTCAATTGAGTGGGTTTCAAGAACTAAGATGTGGGAAAAAGAAGAATTGACACACTAATAATGTACATCTTTGCCGCAATATGAAAATTCAATAACTTCACTCAGTCAATTTACAATTCACATGTGCCTATTAATTAAAACCCTATATTAAATAAAATATATTAAAACTTCATGTCTGACTAACATATAATGGTGTTGGTAGACATTACAGGAATTACTGAACAGAATAAACAATGCAGACACAGAGATAGCTATTCAGAAGAATGGAGCTATAATTGTGGAGAGAATCTACAAGACCATGGAACGTAAAAAGAGAATAACTGCGGAAGAAATGAATGCAGTGATAGAAGAACGGGATGCTGCTTTGTCTCAGGTAACTGCCTGTATCTGTAAAAGCATATACTTGCCATTTCCCCCTTTTTCTTTGCAGTTAAAAATGTCTCTCCTTATATGTGCATAATTTAAATTAGTTTTTTGGCCTCTAATTAGTGCCATAAGGAATGGTTAGCTGTATTAAAATCACTTATTTTGTTGTACCATTCTTCAAATCCTAATTTCTCAATAAAACTATTAGCTTGTTATAAAAATACAGTTATATCCTATCAAGTAATCACTTTTACATGAAACTTCTTGAGTCACTGTTTTGTGAGGGCTGAAGTGATGTCTCTATTGCTCTTTTATTCCCAGTGTCTAATTCACTGCCTTTTAGTAAACACTGATAAACGAATCAAATCATCAGTGTATTCTCTTTTGAACTTTACTTACACCTTCCTGCTCTAACTGAAACCTGACTACCTCCCTGAGGACTCTACTTCTAGTGCAGTCCTTTCAAGTAGTGATTATATTCCTTTCCATAGCAGTGACACCATTGGGCTTTTAAGGCTTGTTCTTCATGAGTGTTTTTAGATCGTTATTTCTCTTCCTTTCTAAACACTTTCAGCTTTGAAACTCATGCCTCAAACTGTAGCACCCAGTACACACTCCTGTTGCAATCATGTAGATCACTTCCTTCATTTCTTAAAGATTTTAAGCTTCATTTCACTGTCTCTTCAACCTCTTCCTATTATAATTCTTGCCAATTTAAATACCTCGTTAAATGATCTTTTGAATATTCCATCTCCTTGAGTTTCTCTCTGCCAGTCATCATAAGGCTACAGTACTTTTTCATCCACTTTATTACCTGCCTACTTTCTGACTGCTGTCTGCTGTCTTTCCAGCTCCTTTACTGTAGAACTCTGGCTCTAGCAATTTTCAACTCCACTGGCACATGTTTCTGTTGATTCTACCACCTCTCCTTCTATTCTTTGAGCCTCTCATGTCCTTACTTTCCTCTTTTTCTGACTTAGATTCCATGACCCATCATTATATCACTAGCGTGCATATCTATGTATCTCTGATGCAGAGAGATATATGGAGATAGTTATCTAGCTAGATACATATGACCTCTGTTCACCTGGCTTTCTTTGTACTACTTAACTAACAAAACCTAAACCTCAAAAATTTAACTCGGTGCCTGTTCTCTACCTTAACACTTTTATATGACAAAACCCCACAGAATTGTCGACTGAATTTACCTTAAACTCATGACCACTAGATTAAGGTAGGCCCTTGGCATTACCTGGTATCTTACTGCCTTTTTCTGTCCAATTGCTCTCCCTCCTAGAGTATTTAAGCTCTTTTTTCCCCTCAGATATCCAGTCTCTCCTCCCCAATATTTTTTGTCCCCATCATTTCATCCATCAGCCTGCCTGCATTTGCACCCATACATTCTGCCTTTCTGTTTTATATCTTTTTTACTTGAGGCTTCTGTTTAAGGCCAACTCCTTCTACCCTAAGTCATATCTTTTCTTGCCTACTAAAGATTATCACAACCAACTATCTCCTGCTTTCTTACTTTACAAAATGTTTCCTATTAGTTCATTTCTATCACCATCTCAAATGCTGTACTATCTACAGGGAACTGAGTGGAAGTTTTGCTAAGTCTTGGCCCACTTGTGGTTCATCCCTGTACTTTTGGTGAAGTTTCCCAGGTTGGGAGCTGAGTATTCAGTAGGAGGGCCCTGTTCTGGCAGAGCCTGTACTTTAGGGTTGGCTCCTCTGCATTGCATGGCTGAGGAAAACTCTACTATTCTTTTCAGAGATTTTTAGGGCTTAGCTTTTTAACTTCTAGCCTTGTACAGCCTTGGGATTTAGCAAATTATTGGAGGTGAAAACAAATCTAATATTCCCAGTTTTGTCACCTCAACCTTTTATGTTTATTTTGTCACGTGTCACATCTGCCAGTAGCTCTCTGTCCTTCAGTAGGAGCCTTCTGTGTCATCAGAGCCCCTTACCCATGCCTAGAATCTTTAATGCTCAGGGGGAAAATGACTGCAGATTTCCACGTCACTTCTCTTGAACTAACCCCTCTCAAATCTCAGCCACTAAAGTCATTGTTTCAGCAGCAACCTTGTAATGTCTTTTAACAGATGTTTTAAAATTTAATCTGGCATTTTTTGTTCTTGGCTGGAGTATTGTTCTGCCACAAATAATGCCATCCTATCCAGGTGATCAGACATTTATCTTCAAATTAGAATTGGAAAAGGTCCTTAAACTTTTTAAATGGGCCATGTTTTTGTACTATTTTGTGGCCAACCAAGTGTATTCACTCTTTATATTGCTGAAGAGATGGCCAAAACTATTTTTATGTGGTTGGAAACAATTGTAGTATAAACTCAGATGATTGATTTTTTTCTTTCATTTTCCTAAGTTCACTGAAAATAAACACAGAACATAATTAAATATTGACTGACACCCATTCCTTCTTTCACTTCCTCTCTCCTTTGCCCACTGCCTTTATATTACTGATGATAAAGAAAGATAAATTGGTTGTTTCATTATTTTAATTTATACATGTGTCATACTTTCCAACCTAGGTGGTATTCTTTTTAATTTTTATCTTATTTGTCATAAACAAATTTTTGAATTACTGGTATAAATTATGAATGCAAACACTTTTTACCTTAATTTTTTTAAATCAACTTTTTCATTTTGGAATAATTTTAGATTTATAGAAATTTTTCAAAGATAGTACAGTACAAAGTTCCCATATATCTTGCACCATTTTCAGTTTCTGGTAATTTTACCTTTGCATATTACTGTGGTACATTTGTCAAAATTAAGAAACTTATTGGTATATTACTCTTAACTCCAGATGTTACTCAGGTTTTTACTCATTTTTTTAATTAAAGTCCGTCTGTTCTGAGTTTTAATTCAGAGTACCAGACTGTATTTATTTGTCAGATGACCCTAGTCTCCTCTAACTTTTGGCAGCTTATTAGTCTTCTTTTTTTTTAAATGAGAGTAATATTTATTTATTAAAAATGTTTCCTTTTTTACTGAGGCTTATTATACTATGTAACTTTCAGGAAGATAGCTTCAAACTTCAATAAATGTATATCCTATAACATACCCATCACCAAAACTTTAATACTTACCACTATCCAGTTGACCCCCTCTATCCAGTTCCTTCCACTTCCCATTCCCTTCCCCTCTGGTAGCCATCATTTTGTTTCCAGAGTTTAAGGATTTCTGTTTCTGTTTTATTTGCTTTTTTTCTACTCCACATGTAAATGAAATCATCTGGTATTTGTCTTTTTTTTTAAAGATTTATTTATTGATGCAGACAAGAGCTGGGGTATAGGCCAGAGATGTGGGGAGTAAGAGGATCCACCAGAGACAGAGCGAGGAACAGAGCAGGCAGACCGACTGAAACACACTGCTGAGGGGAACAGCGGGCAAGACAGGAGAGGTCTGCTGTCCATGTGGGTCTCTCTCTGGCCGGCTGGGGATCAAACTTGTGCCACTGCAGAGGCTGCGGATTGCTTCATAATGCAGTGCTTAACCCCTTGCACCACCAGAGAGGCCCTGGTATTTGTCTTTTTATTTCTGACCTATATTTCTTAGCATATTCACCTCCAGGTTAATTCATGTTTTTGCAAATGACAAGATTTCATCTTTTTTTATATAGCTGAATAGTACTCCCATTGTATGCTATTCCACATCTTTATCTAATGTCCATTGATGGACTTTAACTTTGCTTTCATGTCCTGACTATTGTGAATACTGCTACAGTGAACATAGGAGTGTGTACATCCTTTTGAGTTAGTGTTTTCATATTCTTTGGATAGATGGGTAGAAATGGAATTGCTAACTCATGGTAGTTTTAGATTTAGAATTTTGAGGAGCCTCCTATAAACCCCACCAATTTACATTCCAACCGACAATGTACAGGTGTTCCTTTTCCCACATCCTTGCCAGCACTTATTTTTATCTTTTTGATATAGGCCATTCTTAAAGATAAGAGAAGATATCTCACTGGGATTTTGATTTGCATTTCTGTAATAATGATAAGCGTTATAATTATTTATTATTATTATCAGTCTTCTTTTTTTTTTCCAACATGACCATGACAGTGTTAATGATACTGATCAGATAGTTTATAGAATGTGTCCAAGTTTGAATTGGTCTAATATTTTTCTTATTATTAGCCTAAGATTTTGAATTTTTGGAAAAAATAGCACAGAAATCTTATTCTTAATGCTATTAATTAGCATCATATATTTTCTAATTACACTCTGTGGTGCTAGGATAATTTTAGTCTAATTCTGTTTAGTTATTGGAAATATTCAGATTCAGTGAGACTTTCTTGATTTTCATATAATTATTAACTATTTTTCAAATCTAGTTAAAATCCCTTTCTTACTTGAACTGGTTTCCTTAATATCTTTTTTACATGAATTCTTATACTCTTATTTATTGACATTCTTCTCCCATATTTCTTCTATTTAAACTGACACCTTTAAGACATTTCATAAAATGAAATAAAAATTTTACGACTAAACTTTGATTAAGGAATTATTACCTATCATTCCTTCATTCTTTGCTATTTTTTAGCCCACTAATGTTCACATATTTTATTCAAATTATAGAAATAGCTGGAATTTACCTGCTATAAACTTTCATTTACTTTAGATTCTTAAATTCTTTAAATTTAATTTTAATTTTTTCATTTAATTTAGATTCTTAGTGTGATGGGTTAGTGGACCGTGCTAAAGATTTATATGGAGATAATTTGACATATTTTTCTTGGTTTGTGTGTAAATGAACACACTAGAGATATATAGGATTGCCAGACCTGGCAGAGTGTCCATTTGAGAATTAATAAATTTATTAAATGAATACTGGCAGAAAGTTATAGCAACATTCAGACTTTGAATGTAGTGTGGAGTCATAGATAATTTGATTTTAACTCGGGTTGAGATTTTAATGGGTAAGAGGTGAAGGTAATGACCCATGGCCCCTCCCTTGTGTAAAGAGAAGGAGGAATGATGA